TTTTTTTTTTTTTAACAAATTCAAATGTGCAAAAATCTATATGATCAAAATAATCCATACTCTCAAGTATGCCATGGTTTTGATAGTAATTTAATTTCAACATTCAACAAAAGCAACTATTATCATATATCAAATAACCACATAATTTTTAGAAATCTAGGTCTTATACGTGTGATTCACCAGCTATTTTTATTGTCAATAACTGGTGGCTGAGATGTAATATGTTCACAACAAATAACCATTCCTCTAGTAACAGAACAGAAGGGCACAATATAATCAAAGAAAAACACGTGCACAAGACACAATTCAATTCAGTTTATTTATATAGCGTCAAATCACAACAAAGTTATCTCAGGGCACTTTACAGAAACATTCACATACATAAAAGCCAATTAGTAGTTCTCTATCTAAGGAATCCAGCAGACAAGATTAATCTTGGCTTCGATGCAGTCTCCCATACACAGAAAGAGGTAAAAAAAAATAAGTGGAGAAAGTGAAAATTAATGGCTCAACAAAAAGAAGAGCACAGAAATGCAACCAAGAAGAACTAGGTGAGAATAAAAAGTTTTAGAATCTATAGAACAAAAAGTACCAAGAATTACACAGACGAAAGTGGAGTTGGAAACTCCAATTTTGACAGATAAAATTAACAGTGATATATTGCAAACTCTAAGTACCAGACCTGAAAAAACTGCAATGTTGACTCCACTAGCTTCTGTTGTAAACAGTGCAGTAGTAATTGCATATACTAATTTTGCTATACTTGATTTGTATTAGTAAACAGCTATGTACCATAGTAGTTTTCTTTCAGATGTTTAAATTATTTAGTTAAAATCAGACTCTGTCAAATGGCTTTAGAAAAGCAACACTTGAAACACCTTACAAAATATATTGTTTTATGATCAAATTGAAGCTCTAAGTTTTTGATCAGAAACAATTCAATTAATTCAGTTCAGTTTATTTATATAGCACCAAGTCACAACAGAAGTTGTCTCAGGGCATTGAACAGACCTAAACTGTAAGACACCATTTTAAACTCAGTTTTAAAAAAATCACAGGATGTTTGTTTTGTTACTTTTGTAGACATCATAATTCATCAAACATGGTATTCACTGTATTCACTGGTGAACTGATCATCACTAACTTCACACAGACTCTCACTGGTACATTTTCAACTTTAAATCACTTCTTGGTCTGTTGCCTTGATACATCTCCTCCTACATGTCATTATGTGGGTGCAGCTACAGCGTGCACTCGCAGGAAATTAATACATGCAGTGTTCCCCCAGTGCAGACTGAACTAGGCAAAAGGGCCTTCTCCTACTCCGCTCCTGTATCCTAGAAACCTTGCAAAAAGATCTGAAGCAGTGATGGTAGTATGAAACAAAAGCTTCAAAACATGCTTTGAACCCTGCAGTAAAATTACATCGAACCACTGCTTCGGAGCCGGTTTTGGTGCGGAAAAAGTCACATGACACGTGACGTCTGAAACACAAACCGTTTCGTTGTTGGAATGAATCTCTTGACTGGTTCGCGGTCCAAACAGCTGATTCCCTGGCACTGACTCGTCTCGATTCTGACAGGTGACAGGTTGAGACAGTTTTGAATTGAGAGCGCTCAACACTATGAAACAGCTCTAAAATGTTTGCAATGTGTTGGAGAGTAGATGTGTTTTTGCTGTTATTTGAAATTGAGTAATTATAGAGCCAGCCAGGAAAAGAGGTTGTTCTAACATGTGGGAACATTTCATTCTGCTCATGATAAGGTGGTTTTGGCATTTAAATGTCAAAAAAGTTATAATGTTCAGCAGTGAAGACATTATCTAACCCATTTAACCCATGTATTTAATATAATTACAGTAAAATGATGTATGTGATTTTAATAATCAAATATCAGTATGGGCTCAAATTAATTTTTTATTTCCATTAGTGTATTTCAGCAGGTGCAGTGTTTGGTGTGTTCAACTGAACTGAAGCATCATGATACTTCCTCTATGATTAGACACTTCAGTGCCAAACATGGAGATGCTGGAGACATCATTTCATTGTTATTTTTAAGAATGATAAAGACTCGGACTCTGCCACAGTTACACAAGCACAATACCATTGCAACATTTTTTTAAATCTCTTCAATGCACATTTATTAATCTTTATTCAAAAACATGTAAGCATAAATAAAATTTCAAACCAGACAACACAGAAAGTTGACAAATTAAAAAAAAAAAATGTTTTTACCACAGTAAAGTAGTTTCTTTAACACTAGTCACTGAAGTTCTTCAGTGTGTGCCACCAAAAACAGAATGCCTAATTTGTCAGCAGCATTGCAAAATGCCACAAGAGGTCACTGTAACTGAAGCTTCAACAAATGAACCTATTTTTGAAACAATTAGCCCAACTGGTTCAATGCTTCATAAAAGCTTAATTTGCTCATCACTAATCTGAAGCTCTCAACCTTGACCTCTCTTAAGTGGCTTCAAACAACTGTGAAGTTCATGGCAAAAAACAATGCAGACATGTTCCTGTTTTTAGTTTTTTATATCGCTTTATAAAGTAACTATCATGGTCTGCTGTATGTGTGGGAATCCACGTGCAGGAAGATGACAAGAGACTCCAGTAAAATAAGTAAAATGTTTATTTTCTAAATAAACTAAAGAAAATGCTGTTAGGGTAGCTAACTTACTACATGGAGAACACTAAGGAAGACAAATGACAAAGCTGTTAAAAGGACAATCCAGAGACACTGACAAGACACCAAGGAGCTGAATATATACAGACACTAATGAAGGTGAAATGACAGGCACCTGTGAGTGATTGAATTGCACACAGGTGAGACAGAGCTGGAACACAGGGAGGAGAAACAATAAGGGGTGACTGGCAAAGATGAGGAAACACAAAATACAGGAACATTTTCTTCTTGTTGATTTGATTCTCACTCATATATTTCAAGCCAGATATGACAACCAAGTCTGGTGCACAACATCAAGAATAACTCCATATTAGAATTAAAAAAAGTTAAAACATCTCTGTGAAGAGTCTTTTGTGTGAACTAAAACATGAGGATGATGCCCATTGTATAGAGAAGCAGATTGGCAAGGCACATACAGTTCTTGTTTACCCTCCAAGATGGGGGACAATCAAAGAATGCCATTGTCTCCTTGTGTGGAAGGATGTAGCTTCTATTGACAGATATTTAAAACCAAAATCTCCCGCATGCATCAATGCTCACATTACCATCATGCAAATGAACTTCATATACATAAATTTAATTTGGTTAGGGTAAAAATTTATATAGACTTTCACATTTTAGTTCATATATTTTAAGGAGTGTTAATCTAGTTTGCTTTGTAGTTCTTTCTTCTTTCAAAGGAGAAAATAGTTTCATACTATGTGACACATTATGTAATCAACATATCAAAAACAGTCATTTTATCAGCTTAGAAAAATCCATAATAAAAATAAGTTCTATGTTTTTTTCTCATATTTTACAATATATGTTTTCTGTCAAAAATCACACATGTCCCATTTTTTTGTTTTCTTTGTATATGTTTTTTTTTTTTTTGACAGCTTGTCGGTAGCAACCACACAGGATGTGAAAGTTGTTCATGGAGTGCTCTGTTTATCAGTGTGAAAAAAAATAAAATCTCAGTCTTGTTGACTTTTTGAATTCACATTGTGTTGCAGAACAAGCAAACAAACTGCTGTGCTGTTACAATGAACATCTGGAGCAGCCACATTCCAGAGCAATTTCCATCTCTTCTGAATACGAGGTGCCGTCAGTGCAGTGGAACACCACCTTTCTCAATCTGGTTTTGGTAATGCCACAGCAAATACCCCGGGGTGCTGATGCCTGACAGGACCTCAGGCAGTCCATACGGGGAATCTTGCTAGTAGACGTGCATGTTCTCAGGGCTTGGTGGCGCTTTATCAGCTCCCTCACCATTTCACCCCGGCAAGTGAGCTCTGCAAATGATAGAAATTTGAGCATTTGTTTCCCCTAAAATATATACTTAATTCCATGTTTTTTTTCTAGTGTTACCCGCGTCACAGGTTGGTCCGGTATAGTCTGGTTGACAGTGGCAGACAGGTTCTCCTCTCTCTGATATGTGACACTCCCCTCGTCCACAGTGGTGCCCCCTGCAGGCTGGAGGCTCCCGTTGTCGATCACAGTACTGACCCTGGTAGCCTTCATTACATTGGCAACTATAGGACTGACCCTTTATCACACATAGACCATGGACACATCTAAAGCAGGAGGAAGAAGAAAATAAAAAAATTAACAAAAATGTGCTGAGAGTTGTCCTTGGTTTACAGACAGTTGCTTTAAGTCAGCTAGACAGACAAGGTTTAAGGAAAACTGCTGGTCAAGTAAGTTGGCTATTAATAGACATTTCTTTTACAGCTTTTGCAACATTCGTAGACATTGGATAGAAATAAACTTTTATTGTCTTTACTCTCATGGCTCACCTGTTGTTCTGACAGGGAATAGGGACCATTGTCTGATCACAAAGAGCCCCACTGCTACCTGGAGGGCAATCACAAGTGACCCCCATTTCTCCTGCCTCTCTGCAGGTACCTTGTGCACAGACACTACAGGAATGACATCCAACAAGAATGCTATCACCCTAGTGGAAAAAAAAGAAAAGGAAATAACACTGTTAGCAAAGTGTATGTGCTGTGATGTCAAAGTGTTCACCAGCATTGGAGTTGAACCACCTTATTTTTCACCCTATATGTGTTTTTGTTTTTTGGCATAATTTGGATGCCCTGCGACTTATAGGTCGAAGCAATGTATTTATGGATTTTTTTCCGATATTTATAAATCAATTATTGTCTGAGATATGACCGTTTTCATTCATTCGGACTGAAAGAAAATTGAACAATACCACTTTCAGTCACTTGATGGCAGCAGAGTAGTAGTAGCAGTATGGCGAGCCCTTGTTTCATGTAATAAGTAAACATGGCTATAATGACAAATTCAAAAGAGTTCAATGCAAAAACAACTGGATTTTATTTATTATACTTCATACTTTATTATTTTTGTCTTGAACTTTTTTGAATTTACCATGTCCTGGATGACTGAGAATCTTCACCAGCTATTAATTACACAATCGACTTGCCATAGAGACAACTTGGTTCTGCTCGCTGCTTGAAGCAACCATCAAACCAGTTTCATTTCACTACACTGCACCGGCAAAATGCAGCTAATTTGACAATTAAAGTGTATTTATTAAGTAAAAGTTCAACTGAGGCACACCTTTTCAATAATTTCGAGCAAACAAATAATTGTTTTAAGTGCTTTTCTTGTTAAATTTATAAGAAATGCACACCATTCCTCCTTATTTTATCCTCCCTGTCTGTGTGCTCCTGGAGCACTGAGTTAGTGAATACTTATGAAATACAGCAGATTTGACCGTTAAAGTCCTTTTATTAGACTGGTTTATTAGACTGAAGAAGTCTTGCGGATGAAAGACAAAACGTTTCTACATATTTTTTGTTTGCGTTTTTGTTTTTGAACGTCCATAGGAGCTGACTTAATTTTATAAGATCAGTCAGAGATTCTTTATTGTCATTTGCATCACATGTAAATGAAAAATTTAAAACTTGTTGAAACATTTCATGAGACAAGATGGCGCTGGTGTGTAGGACTTGCCATACATCGCTCTCTGCTTTGGTTTTATTTTTGCCTGTTGTACAGTGTGTTATGGAATGTGTCTACACATATCTGCAATATGATAGTCTGGCACTTTTGGAGCTCTGTAGATTTGTATAATTGCTTGCAAAGCTTTTCCACAGCAGTCAGGACTCTAGCCCTCCAATCCTGTCTGGGAAACCTGCCTTCCTGCTTTGTGACCCTGGCCCATCTCCCCAGAGGAGACGCCGCAGACGTCGAGGAAAGCACTGAAGTTTTGGTGAAACTGAGGCACTGTGTGGATTATTCTGCCAAGGATGATGGGGCTCGTTCTGGATCTGATCCTTGCCTCCAGGACCCCTGGTGCTTCTGGGGCCCTGCTGTTGGCCAGCTACCCGCATGCCCAGACCATGTAAACAATGGGAGTTGTCTACCGGCGTAGCACATGACCTGACCTGGAAGTGCTGATGTTCAAAATCTGTAGCCGCTGGCATGCGCTCCCTTCACCGCCACTGGGTCCACTTTGGATTGTATCAGAATGTGTGTGGTCAATACAAGATCCGTTACCAACAAAACTTTTATCCTCAGGGACTACTTCCAAGGTCACAATTTGGACTTTCTCTGCATCACAGAGATGTGGATGTCTGTCGGTGAGTCCAGCACGTTGACGGAATTATTACCCCTGGACTGTCTGTATTTTAACGCCCCGCAGCCATCAGGCCGATGCGGTGGTGGATTATTAAAAATATTCAAATCAAGCTTTGACTGTAAACAACTGCCCATCCCGGTTTCCTGGTCCAGCTTTGAGCTGAGCATCTTTGAACTTGGCCAGTTGCCTTCGACTCTGTGCGCGCTTGTCTACCGCCCCCCAAGATACAAGGATTTGATAAATGAATTTTGATTTCTTGGCTGAAATCAAACCAAAATATGATCATGTTTTTAATCATTGAGGACTTTAATATTCATGTATATTGTCAGGAAAAGCCCTTGGTTAAAGACTTTTTAGATTTATTGGACTCATTTAATCTAACTCAGCATGTAAATGGTCCCACCCAGTAGTGCGAACATACACTGGACCTTGTTTTAACATGCGATGTGACTTTTAGTAGTTTTAAAATCAGTGATAATGTGTTTTCAGACCACATGCCAGTCCTGTTTGAGTTCACGTCACCCGTCTAACTCCAAAGCTGTGCGCTTCTGCACATTGCAGCTGGGCCATTAACAGCCTCACTGCCGCACATTTCACAAATGTCTTTAACTCTGAAAAGATGAATCATCCCCTAGTGTTTCCCACCACGACTGATGAGCTAACTTCCCAGTTCAACTCTGTCTACTTAAAGGTTCTGGATCATGTCGATCCTGTAAAAACCAGAAAAACAAAACTCAGATCAGAACCTTGGCTGAATGATGTCATTAAGGCTGCTAGACAACAGTGCAGGAGGGCGGAGCACAGGTGGAAGAAAGACAAGCTGAATGTCTCTTTTCAAATGCTAAAAGAGAGTTGGCATTCGTATCAGAAAGCAGTAAGAACTGCTAAATCTAAATACGTCTCTGAAATATTTGTATCCAGCTCTCACAACCCCAGTGTTCTCTTCTCTACCCTAAACTCAGTTCAACATTTTTCAGTTAGGTCATCTGGACAGTTTCTTTTTTTTGTGCTGAAAATCTAAGCAAAATATTATTCTGAATAAGAATAAGAAGGCCGCGCTGATTATTTTAGCCGCAGCTTTGTGCACTCCGCCCATCTTCGGACGACTGTACGTACATATTCGCGTTGTATCTCGGTGCAATGCCAATAAAGTTTATTCTGATTCTGATAGGCTTCATCAGTCAAGAAAACACACAACAAAACTGATTCTTCTCCCAACAGCTTACTCCAAAGTGGAACAAACCAGTTTTGCTTGTGATAAGATGGTCTCTTTGGTATGCCCCTTCCACCATTGTCGGCCCTCTTCCTTGTTGACAGTCATGTCAAACTGGTTGAAAACAACAAAGTCCATGCTCAATAATCCAGGTATACAATACAACATTTTTCAGTCAGGTCATCTGGACAGTTTCTTTTTTTGTGCTGAAACATTTCGCCTTCGATCCAGAAGGCTTCATCAGTCATCAGTCACTTCATCTAACCCTAACCCTGTTTTGTATTTGTAATTATTTTTTTCTATCCTTAACAAGGGGGGGGGGGGGGGGTTTCAGATACACCTGGACCTAACATTCTATGTTCGTCTGTCTCTCCTTCCTGTCCTCTCAAAGCAGATGGCCGCTTGTCCTGAGCCTAGTTCTGATGGAGGTTTCTTCCTTTTAAAAGGGAGTTTTTCCTTTCTACTGTTGCCACTGTGCTTGGTCAGGATGGGAGACTGCAACGAAGCCAAGATTCAACTTGTCTGCTGGATTTCATAGATTCTCTAGATAGAGAACTTTACTAATTGGCTTTTATGTATGTGAATGTTCCTGTAAAGTGCCCTGAGACAACTTTGTTGTGATTTGGTGCTATATAAATAAACTGAATTGAACTGAATCAGTCAAGGAAACACACAACAAAACTGATTCTTCCCCAACAGCTTAATCCAAAGTGGAACAAACCAGTTTTGCTTGTGATAAGGTGGTCTCTTTGGTACACCCCCTCCTCCATTGCTGGCCCTCTTCCTTGTTGACAGTCATGTCAAACTGATTGAAAACGACAAAGCCTTTTTGGATATTTGCTGCAAATTATCTGTTTCTGCCTGTTGATTCTGGACCCAGCTTCTGTTTCTCATGGGAGCATCCATCCATCTTTGCATGGGGGCTGGAGCCCCCCTCAACCCAACTCAAAGTGCAGTTGGGTCACCTCGTCGGATTTGTTTGCCCATTTGATTTGTGACGCTTTATGGTCTGAGACTTTTCTGAACCATTCATATTATTCTAAAAAAGTTAAATCTGGTCCTCTGGACATTAAAAAAATTGTAGAAATGTTTTGTCTTTTATCTGAAAGACTTCTTCAGTCTCAGGTGCTGTATTCAGCTCAGTCTTATAAATAGCACCTTCTCGTAGTGGATCAACCAGTTTGCTGCTGACAGCCAAAACCAGTTGCTCACGTGATCAAGGAGGACCAGCAGCCTAATGATGGATCATTAGCACACTGATGGCTGTTTGCTATTCACAGGGGGCCCCTTCACTGAAGGTTCTTAATGACGTTGTTGAAGCACTGGATGCTAAGGATTATTGTGCTGCACTTTTCTTTGACCTGTCAAAAGCTTTTGACACTGTGGATCATAACATTTTGTGTCATAAGCTCTCAGAAATTGGTTTCACAGATCATACCATTGGTTGGTTATCTAACTTTCTCTCAGATCGGAGGCAATGTGTTCAACATAATTATACTTCCTCCAGTTATTTAACAGTCAACAATGGTGTATCACAAGGCTCAGTCTTAGGACCCACCCTCTTTACAATCTACATAGATAATGTAGGTCAGAGTATCCTTGACGCCTTCTTACATTTCTACGCTGATGACACAGTTGTTTATTCTTGGGCTAAAACAGTTGATAAGGCTTTCCAGCTTTTGCAATCTGCATTTGACATCATCCAGTCAGATTTGTTCCACCTCAAACTTGTCTTAAATGCCAATAAAAATAAAGGGATTTTTTTTTCAAACAGGAAGTCGGTCCCAGAAGTTCTTCCTCCGATTTTATCATCAAGTGGTGTCCCCATTGAGTTTGTTGATTCCTATAAATATTTGGGTATCTTGGTTGACTCGCATCTCTCTATTAAAATCCATGAGGAAAATCTAGTAAAGAAACTGAAAGTTAAACTGGGTTTCTTTTTCAGAAACAGATCCTGTCTAACTCTGAATGCTAGGAAATGCCTTGTAACTGTGACTTTCCTTCCCTCCATTGACTACAGTGACATTATTTACATGAATGCTCCTACAAGCACCCTGCAGATGTTGGATGCTGTCTATCATGGTGCACTAAGATTCATAACTGGCTGTGATTGTCATACCCACCACTGCACCCTATATTCACTGGTTAACTGGACATCAATAACTTCACACATACTCTCCCACTGGTACATTTTCATCTTTAAATCACTTCTTGGTCTGCTGCTTTCATACATCTCCTCCTACATGTCTCTGCATGAGTGCAGCTACAGTGTGCACTCTCAGGACATTATTACCTGCAGTATTCCCTCAGTGCGGACTGAACTTGGCAAAAGGGCCTTCTCCTACTCAGCTCCTGTTTCCTGGAATATCTTGCAAAAAGACTTGAAGCTCTTGACCTTGACCTCTCTTAAGTGGCTTTAAGAATCTGTTGGACTCCTGGCAAGGACTAATGCAGACATGTTCCTGTTTTTAGTTTTCTACATTAGCCTTATAATCTAGCTGTTTTTACTTTTTTGCCATCTTATTTGTATTAAAAAAAGGAAAAAATCTGTATACCTTTTTATAACAGTCTACTGTTGTCGCTGTTGTCCTCTGTTGTCATCATTCTTTGCTGAAATCAGATCTCTTTTGTAAATAAGTCATTGAGGCTCAATGGGATTAACCTGTCTAAATAAAGGTTGAATGAATGAATGAATATCTGAATTTGGCTTCCCCACTCGGACTTATATTCGGCAGCTATCTCAAACTTCTTGTGGTTGTTTATGTGAATGAGAAACTCTGCTCCCCCCACTCTCCTATCCCTCCCCTACTGTGGATATTTGTGTATCTATGCCAGAGATGAGCTTGCTAATAGACACTGTGCCATCTCTTATCAGGGCTATGGAACTTTCTGGTAGTCCACAGACAACTCACAGCCCTCATAGGCCTGCTCATGCATAAATGTATTATGATATCAGTATGTTGCCGTTTCATGTGCTGAGGTCATTTTTGTGCAAATTTCACACTGTGTCCCACCTAGGACACAGTGCAAAATTAGAGTATTGTTTACACCTACTTTCCCCCTCGTGTTTATTTTTCCTTATCTGAAAAAGGGTTGTGCCTCTCAAGGCCGGTAGCCTCAGTTACCTCCGTCTCCCCATGTCTGTTTATGTTTCTCTTGGACGGGCTGTACTGAAATGTAATTTCATTGTGCTTCAGTGCAATGTAAATAAAGCTGATTCTGATTACAATTTTTGCCAAATGTCCTTTTTTTGCTGACAGATGCAAGTTAAAATATACAAGTAAGAATTAAGAATTTTGAAAATATAATGAAGATCAAGAATTTAATTTGTTCATTAAACTTTGACCATTTCAATGGTTCAAATAAACATTTATTGAAGTACTATTTGTATTAAAGTATGAACTATAACTATATGTAAATGCTGTCTTTTTGTAAAACTTTGCTTACCTTGCTTTCCATGCCATGCAATTGTCCTCTTCCTGTTGACATAAAACTCAAGTCTTGAGTCTCTCCATTGATCTGAACATTATGAATGCAGCCATCAAATGCCTGATGGGAGCGCTCAGGGGCTTGATGTAGACTTGAAGTCATCACCTGGGATGGTACACCTATAAAAAAAATCAATAATATCAAAGAAAATCATGGAAACATGATTGAGAAATGAGAATTGTAAAAAAAAATAGGTCAGATGAACAAAGAAAACTAGCAAAAAATAAATTGCATAGTTTATTCACAGGAAGACCAGGACGATTTAATATATTCATACCTATTTTCATTTTCAGACAGCCCATACTAAATATTTAAAATTTCAAGCAGAATTAAGGCAACAGAGCTCTTCTTATTGCTCAGTATTTTTTCTCGTTAGCCATCAAGAGCTGTTGGCAGAGCTGCCCCCTCTCAGCAAAAAGGTTGCAAATTGAATCCTGGCTGGGGGGCCATTCTGGGTGGAGTTTGCATGTTCTCACCATGCTGAGTGGGTTTTCTCTGGGTACTCCGGTTTCTTCCCACATACCAAAATCATGCACATTAGACTGATTGGTCTAAATTGTCCCTAGTTGAGAGTGAGAACGTAAATGGTTGTCTGTCTCATTGGTCTCCATGTGGCCCTGTGATGGACTGGATACCTGTAAAGGGTGTACCCCACCTCTTGCACAGTAACTGCTGGATGTGTGGGCACCAGTGGCACCAGTGGCAGCAGTGACACCCATGACTCGAAAAGGAAGAACCAAGTAAAACATAATGAATGGGTAATGGTAAGGATGTGCAATATGGCATAAACTTCATATCACAATATGTATTGTGATGGGTGGTGGTAATGATATATATCACAATATGTTTTTGGTGTAAAACTTGCAATAGGAATGAAAAAAAGCATAGGGTGTCCTTTTGCCATCATTTATTTTGAAAACTGTTATACTACAATTAATCTCAATTAAGAAAATGCCACTACTAGGTCCAGAGAGTTTTTAAATAATTAACAAATCAAGTATTAGGCTTCTTTCTTGTAGTGCAAAATGGTGCAAAAAAAACAACAACTATTAATCCCAAAGGGAAATTATTTGTTGTTGTAACTCGTTATCCTCAATTCATTCAGAGATGTTATAGATGCTGATGGCTGTAGGCAGGAAGAATCTCTTGTAAAGGTCCATCCCACAGTGGATCCTAAGAAACTGGCTGCAGATGCCATCCGATCAGTCCACCCAGACTCGGCTGGCCTCTCAGTTCCCCGGGGCTGTATGACCGCCTGAATGCTGGGCAGAACTCCAACCAGAGCGATTGTCACTCCTCCTAGCAGTATGCCGAGTTCATTGTTGCTGCGGACAGCCAACTGTAGGTGCCAAGGGATGAACCTGTTCTTCCACTGTCATGAGCCGTGTTTCCTGCTAGTTCCAGGATCTCAGTGGTCAGGCACTTGAGCACAGCTGGCAGGTAGATGAGAATGCATCCACAGAACATCCTTTTCAACTCATTTGAGAATTGGGGCTGTAGTTGAGATATTATTTGAGCTTTTGAGATGTTCATCATGACAGGCTCTGTCCCTGTCTGTTTTCTTTGTATTTGTTTGTGTTTTCCACTTGCTCCTCAGTCTGCCTCTCCACTCCTCAGTCTTTATCATTCACACCTGTCCCTCATCAGCCACCTGCCCAGGTGCTCTCATTACTCACTCTCCCTCTGTCATAAAAAGCCTTTCTCTCCTTCACTCCTCGTCCGGTCATTGTTCTGTTTTCACAGACAACATGGTCCTCCTCTATTCCTCGTGCCAGGTATCAGTCTGATTTTTTAATCTGTCCTGTTCTTGTCTGCCTGGATCCTGCCTGTAGTTTTGCTGCCCCGTCAGCCGTTTTGTTTTTTGTGGTTTAAAATAAATTATTTTTATTATAAACTCCTGCCTCGCT